ACAAAAAAAAAAAAAAAAAAAAAAATTGAAGACCTGGGTTCAATACTCAGTAACACACATGAACACATTTCATATTATCTCTTAATCTTATTCCCACTACTCTCTAATGTGACTAAGTTACTCTAGCACTAAAGAGGGGTAAGCGATCAGGTAGATCCGTAAAAATAAAATGGTGTTGGGCCAGAGAAGTAGCTCTGTGGCGCTGCACCTGCCTGGCAAACATCAGGTCCTGAGTTTGGTCTCTGATACAGAACAAACAAATAAACAAACAAACAAATGGTGTCCTTCTGATTATACTACTGGTTTAAAACTCAACTTAGGAAGAACTCAAGGAATAACATGGGGCTGCGGCTAATACTGTTTTCCAAGGTATAGTCTCTACAATTCAGTGACTGCAATGGCAGAGCTCCAGTACAGACACTGAGAGCAAAGGAGTCAAGGAAAGTAGACAGATGGCGAAGTGTGGGTACAGATCAGTGGAGGAAGGGCACTTATGTGTCATTCTATGAAAATTGGGAATAAAGGCAGAGAAAGGAGTCTGAGTACCTCCGGAAGTGAAAGAAGCGGCAGGCCACAGTCGAGTCGTCTTGCTCCTGCTCTTTGAACTTCCGATACCGCTCCAGGCGGCACTCACGACACTTGTGCAGGTGTGGGGCCACGTTAATGCATGACCCATCCTGCAGGAAGGGCTCTCCAGACTGCTTCAGCTTCTTCACCTTGCTCACATCTTTCAGCACTGACTGGCCAACTGAGGCAAAAGCAGAGAGGAGAAAAGGCTGTCACGAGATGTTTAAATAGGAGCTCATAATATGATCCTCTTAGGAACAGACATTTGTCCTAACCTGGGCTGCTACCCATTATGTAGCAAGAGACAGACAGCAGGGAGCCAAGGAACTTCAGTGGGGAGTTAAGACCCATGACGAGACCTTGTAGAAAGTGCTCTGTGTGGTGAAAACAACTCGGTGGGGTGGGGCCACCTCTAGTCCCTTAGGGCTGTTAATCAGGGACTCCTAGTCTCCCACAAACTATCAGCTCCTAATGAAAGCAGCTACTCTCACCAACACACTTTCTGTTACACACCTCTGGATCATAGCCTCCATCATACTATGTTAACAGATTTTTGTAGAGGTGTGAAAATCCTTATGTATGTTTTAGAGAGGTACAACCAAGGCAGGTGAAATCTCTTTGCTTCATCAAGTCTACCGTGTCTGTGTGGGAATGGAAACCAGTTTTCAGTAGCTCTCTGATGTAAATTTTAAAAGAATGAAGTAGAAAGGAATTAGATAAACACAACGACATTAAATTTCTGACCAAAAGTAACAGACTGATAAGGAAGATTCAAGACTCCCCTGTGGACAGATAACCCTTTTACAGTGCTGTCACAAATGAAACATGACCCCGCCTTGCACCAGAAGTAGCAAGAGCCTTTGCTGGGCCCCTGGGCTCCAAAATTACAAGATTCCAGAACTTGCCATTAAAACGAGAGCCTCTGCTACACAAGGGCACAAACAATCAAGGCCAGCGCCAGAGCAAAGTTCATGGACAGCCTTGGCAGGATCACCTTTCAGGGGGGCGGTCCGAGGCCGGCCCTTGGGGGTCTGCTTCCCTTTGCCCTTGCCCAGCAACAATTCAGCACTGCGCTCCCCATTGGGGCCCAGCTTCCCCATCAGGTGCTCTGGAATCCCCTTCAGGCCAGTCTTCGCCTGCAGCTGCTCCTCCGAGTCGCTCAAATCTGACAGGTCACTGTTGGTGCTGGAGTCTGAGTCCTGTCTGCAAGCCAAGCTTCGCTCATCCAGTGAGAACCTTTTCACAGCTTCAAAAGGAGCTTTGTTCTCCTGTGAAAAATCTGCTGGGGAGGACAGAAAACTGCCTGAGTGCCTGCCAAAGACGTTACTAAAGGTTTTGAGGAGGGGATTGTCCTGCTGCCCAGGCCCCACAGTAGGCCTTTCCTCTGTGGGGCTGGAAGAGAGAGTAGGCATCTCAATGGGTTGGGTGAGGGTGCTGGTGGGTGAGCTGGAGCGGCCATTCCCCATGGCAGAGAGGCTTGGGCCCCCAGTGGTAAGAGCAGAGCCCAGAACACCAGGCACTAGCTTGGAGGAGTCAGTTGTAATGAAGAGGGGTTTCTTCTTTGTTAAAGAGGCCGAATCTGTGGAGGAGTGAGACTCGGGCCAGCTGGGTGCTGCCTTGGAGGTGACAGTGGTAGCAGAGCTACTTGATGCCTGAGATGCAAAGCTGCTGAAAGGGCTATGTTCAACTTTCTCCACAAATGCCAGGAAAGGGTTAGAAGGCTCTTCTCGGGACAGTTTGGGGGGCTGTAAAAATAGATTTTCATGACTCTCTGGGGTACGGGTATTTAGGAGGCTCCGTTGGAAGGCTGGAGTGAGGGTGGGCATGGACTCTGCAGGTACTTTCCGGTCCACAGAGCTGCCAGCCTTAGAGCCTAGCTTCGTGTCTGCTCCAAGAGTGGATCTGCTTTTACACAGGCCTGAGCTCAGGCTTTCAAGGCTTTGCTTGAATGAGTCCCGACTAGAGGAATCATCAGCCAAACTCTCCGAAACCGTAGTGAAATAGTTACTGGTGGGTAAAGTTTGGGACATGCACTGAAAAAATAAGTTTTTGGAGAGATCAGAGTCTTTTTGAGACTCTGATGCAGAGCCACAACCAAAAGAGAAGCCCAAAGGTTTGTTCTCCGTGGCTAGAACCCCATTGGACTGGCTCCGCCCACTTGCAAAAGTCAAAGGTTGCGATAAACTTGGGAGAGATGCTCCAAATCCGGAAGAGCCCAGTATAGAGTTTCTTGAAATCTGAAAGGAAGAAATCCTGGGTTAGTGATGCAGTTTCTTGTGATAACCTAAGGAACCTTTTTGCTACTACCAAATCAGCACTTGTGTGCATCAGTCATCTTTTCCTCCTTCAGTTCCACATATCTGCTCCTATAACTGGATGTCATCAGCATTGGTGGAGAAGGAACCCACCACAGAGACAGCAGGGGTATCATTCGAGTTGCCACTCCTTTGGTTGTTACCTATGAGTGTCAGTGATAGGAAGCTGAAAGTTTCTTAGTATCTTACAGGATTTGGAAGTAGAGGGACTACTAAGGATCCAGGGAAAAGAGATCCCGAACCGACATCAGCTTTTATTTTGAAATATAACAGTGACCTGTGCAGTATCACTTCACCTCAGTGTCTTCTGAACCACTATTAACATTTTGATTTATTTAAGCTATTACAAATAGCCCCTTTCAAACAGTAATTTCACTGTCACAACAAGTCCATTGTATGTTAAAGAAAAGTGTTCTACTTATTAATTTGAAACACAAAATGAACATTTTGGAAGCCGGGTGTGGTGGCACACTCCTATAATCCCAGCACTCGGGAGGCTGAGGCAGGAGGATCGCTGTTAGTTCGAGCCCAGCCTAGGCTACATAGTGAGTTCCAGGTCAGTCTCAGCTACATAGTGAGACCGTGTCTCAAAAAAACAAAACAAAACAAAACAAACAAACAAACAAAAAGATGAACATTTTGGAAATTGGCTATCTAAGGGCTCAAGTCAACCTAAAAGTTAAATATCTGTTTCAATTAACAGACCTAAAGATGCTAAATTAAAGAAAGCTATGTACTGAGACCTTGTATTATAATTAGGATTCAACAGTCTCCAAAAAGAAAAAAAAGTACTGAAGTATTCATAAAACAAAAACACTCAGCATAACAAGCTGGAGAATGAAATGGTAAAGCACTTTCCTTTTCTTTCACCTTGAGAATCTTAACTTCTCCATGTGGATGACTATGTGTAAGAAGGGAGGCACTTTCATACCCACTATGCACCCATATACATGCACAGACACTCACAGGTAGCTATGAGCCCTTACCTAGTACTTGTTAACTTAATAAAACTTAGAGCCTAGTACTTGACTTACAAACCATAGATTACTAGGAAACTTAACTTTTCAGTAGTAAAATGATATGTCTAAATATTTACTGGAAATAAAAATTATTCCACAACTGCCTAATGGATATGGGGTTTTCTTTTAGGACGAGAAAAATTTCTGGGACTAGATAGTGGTTTTATAACATCATGAATGTACTAAATGTCAGAAAATTGTACATTTTTAAATAGTTGCAATAGCAAATTTCCTTGAGAGTGGCACTAAAGCTGAGAACTGAGGACTACTTGCTTCCAGTCACATCTGCCACACAGGCTGCTTCAGGGAGTTTTAGGGTCGAAATACTAAAGTTCTTTTACTTCCCACTACAAAACAAGCAAAAACCTCCTCCCATGGAGGGGGAGAATAGCCTGACATGAGTCTTTGCTTTGTTTCACTAGCAGGACTTGGCCAGGAGCCTTGGCACCTGCATGACTGCAAGGAACCCACAGAAGTAGCTCATGTTTCACTACTAAAGTTACCCTTTAAAAAGAAATGCACACATGAATGAAAAATAATTTGGATGGTCTTTCATGTTCCTTCAAATGATTAAATTTCAAATCCTTTTCTTATAAGAAAGCGATGACAAACTTATTTCAACTTAGTTTTTAGGGCAAGAATGTTTTTGGTGACAAGAAATGTTTCTCTATTTTATTTATTTTTTAATTTTTGGTACTGGGGATCAATCTTGGGACCTTGTGCTTGCGAGGCAGACAGAGGAACCACTGAGCTAAAACCCCAGCTCTTTTCTCTATTTTAGATTAAACATCATAATCAAAATCATATCCCAGAAGACAGATTGAAACACTAACAAAATGACTGATAGTCACAGAAATATTCTCCAACCTGTTTGAAAGAAATACTGTTGAATCCACATTTCATCTATTTAGCTTTATTATTCCAAGAGTAACATTCACTATGGGCCAGGGACATAGCTCAGTGGTGCCGCCGCCTGCCTTGCAAGTACAAGGTCCTGAGTTCGATCCCTGGTACCAAGAAGGAAAAAAAAAGGATTGTTTCACTGCTTCTTGGCCTTTTGGCTAAGATCAAGTGTAGTAACATTCACTGGATCTGTTCTTACAGATATGAAATTTGGTTTATTTTATAAGGCCCATTTACATTCACACTGCCTTTGACATGGGGTTGATTTTAAATAATTCAGGCACTACTACTAACACACACTCGCAATAAGGACCTCATCTGGTTCTTTTGGAAATACTGGTCAACTAAAAGAGGAGAAATCATGGATTATGCAAAATTTTGCATTCATGGGCATGTGCGCATGTGTGGTACCAGGGAATGAACCATAAGAGTTCACAAATGCTAGGCAAGTGCTCTACCACTGAGCTACCTCCTCAGCCCTTTTAAAATTTTAAGATGTAGTCTTCTTGCTAAGTGGCTTAGGCTGGCCTCGCATTTTCTTTTCTTCTTTCCCCACCCCTCAAGATAGGGTCTCACTTTGTAGTTCAGGCTGACTTGAACTTGCAAGGTAGCCCAGGCTAGCCATGAACTCGCAGCAATCTACCTGACTTGTCTCACGAGTCTTAGATTACAGACGTGTGCCACCACCCCAGCTTTGGCCTTGAATTTTTGATTCTCCTGCCTCAGCCTCTCAACTTGCTAGAATTACAGGTGTTTGCCACTGTGGCCTTCTCCTCTTTTGTATTTCTTCCCTATCCTGTAGGCAATAACAAATTGTATTTGCTGGAGAAGGGAAGAAGTCAGATGAAATGTTAAAGCCCTGGTTTCTTTGCAGTGCTGGAGATCAAACTCTGGGCCTCACCCATGTTAGGCAAGTTCTCTACCAGCTCAATGGCATGTTCTATTTGGTATTGTTATACCTGAAATGATTCCATTTCAGGAATGTGAGCTCCTTCAAATAGGGATTCTGCGTATTTATTTATGATGCACAGTACTTAGCACATAGCAGTTTCCTATATAGAATTTAACCTTATTTTCTTTTCTTTTTCTTTTTCTTTTTCTTTTTTCTTGAGGCTGGCCTCAAACTTCTGGGCTCAAGCAACCCTCCCACCTTACCCTTTTGAGTAGCACATGCCACCGTGCCCTGGGTGTTTAATTTTTAAATCATTAAGCATTTCATCTCAGTGTTTTATATTCTATCTTAATTAGCCTAGTTGAAAAAAAATACAACCAGCACCATAAATCATGTTTTAATGACCAAAATTAGTAAAAAAAGAATAAATTCTGATACTGTTTCAAACTGGGATTGAGGAGACAACATGACATTAATTTACATTTAACAAAAGTTACATTACAGCAAAAAATTACATATCAGATAAAGAACATCGTAAATGGATATTACTAGGATTAAATCCATAAATTTTTCTAAGTAAGGCTTAAAAGGATGAAATCAGTGTGGGGAAAAAAGAAACTTTCATGGTCATATTGAATGACGGAAATCAGCTCAGCCTCAAGGGAAAAACATCACATAAAATGATGAACTGAAAACAGGGTAATGGTAGCTGGCATGCAGAGCTTTAATTATAGTGTTCACTATTATCAGCACTGTAACTCATTAACCTTGCCTCTCACAGGCCTGGTTGAGGCTCAAACCACTACATGAACTAAACAGAAAATTGAATTTAAAAGATTCCCCACCAGATCTATTTTAACATCTCATTATATTAAGTTGTATAATCAGTTTCTGATTAGCCCAACTATTCAGGCGACTTTTAAGAACTGATAAAGTTATTAAATGTATGCATTTGTCCAATGAGCAGTAAAGGTCTATCTATAGAGTATAATTTAAGCACATCTCAAAACTACTTCTTTCTTGGGGCATTTGAGGTGCTTATTAATGTCTTAACAATAAAGGAGGTTGAAAAGTGAACCCACAACTAGCAAATCTACCCTTTAAGCAACTCACCTCTCCTGAGGCCTGTGACCAGCTGCCTTTCTGTTTTTCAGGCCCAGTCCCTGTTGCAAGGCCAGTGTCTGAGATCCTCACTGTGGTTGGTGTGGAGCTGGCAGTAGTGACCACAGCTGCTGAAGCCACCATGCTCTGGCCAACTTGTTCCAGTGTTTTTCCTGCCTCTTTATTTTCGGTTCCACCCACCTCTGGAGCCAAAGGTGTCTGACCCGTGGCTGTAGAATATGGAGCGAAAGGTACAGGTGTGTCCCCTCCTACAGGCTCATCCTGTACCACCAGAGTCCTGCCATTTTCTTTGGTGTAAGTGGCAAAGCGAATGTTGCGGTTAATCTGGGGGACAAACGTAGACGGTGGCTGCTTGGATCTCTGATCCAGCCCTGGTTCTCCACTGGCATTACCTTCTTTCCAGGGCCCTCGGCTTGCCTCACTTCCATCGCTCCCATTACTGTCTACTTCACCCCTGTCTCCTTTTAATTTCTTTGATGCAGGGTCACACCCAGAGTCCGAAGCATTTTTCCTCCTCCGGCCATCTTTCCCCTCTATGCTCTCTCTCTTCTTCTTTCCTTTGGAAGATTTTACTGCTTTTAACGTACCCCCCTACAAAACAAAATTCAAAAAAGATTTATTACAAGGGACCTTTCCATCTTGTGAAAACCACAATCCATTAGCTCTTTGCCATCTATAGAAGCAGACAGCAAGTGCAGATCGCCATGTTCTGGTGGCAGTTTTCAGACACCCTTTTGTCAGTCAAGCTCTAATCTTGTGATTCACATTACACACACACACACACACACACACACACAATTACTAGAGGTTAATTCCCTTCTCTTACATAAAATACATTACTTTTTCAAATAGACTTTTTATGGGCTTTAACAATTTGTGCAATTTCTTTTGCAAAAACTGCCAGACCTAGCTAGATGGGGAGCTCATTTGCCCCTTGATGAAAGAACTTGTTCTACTGCATATTCATCTGCCTGGGTATTTTTAAGTTTGTTTGTTTTTTTTTTTGAGACAGGATATTGCTATGTAGTTTAGGCTGGCTTTGAACTCACTATGTAGCTGAGACTGGCCTCAGAAAAGTGATCTTCCTTCCTTAGCCTCCCAACTGCTGGGATTACAGGTGTGTACCACCACATCTGGACTTTTTTTTTTTGTACCAAGGATCAAACTCAGGACCTTGCACTTGTGAGGCAGGTGGCAGAACCACTGAGCTAAATCCCTGGCCTCTGGATGTTTTGTTTTTTTGAGACAGGGTCACCCTATGTAGTTCAGGCTGGCCTTGAACTCACTATGAAACCCACACTGGCCTTGAACTTGCAGCAATCCTTTTGCTTCAGCCTCTCAAGTGCTTAGATTACAGAAATAATTATCCATGCCTGGCTCTTTCTTATTTTTGATACAAATGTGCATTTCAAGTACTCAAATACAAAATCGTATCTGTCCAGAAATCTCCAAAACCAATATTTATCAATCTGTGACCAAAGGAAAAGTGAATTTGGCAGAGACAGATTTGGATTGCTCATATAGACACTATACAGATGACTAATCTCCCTACCTCATTTCAAAGTATTAGTCAGAGGAAAGGGGAAAAAAAGGAGGCTGCCACGGGTCAAAGAGGCAAATCTCTTCTCTCTGCTGGTAATTTTGGACTTCTCATGAAATTTTATTGTACCTTATTTGGGAGGCCACATGACTAAGGGGATATGGATCAGAAGGGACAATTCATGTCTCCCAATAAAGTCTTTCCCTGAGAAAGATGAGGGGATACGGTGATGAAATGCAGCTGACATCCTCTTGAACAAGTTTTGTGCAGCAAGAATTTACTCCAGGACATTTTTAGATGAGTATTCATCCCATGTAACTGTTTTATCTTTTTTTTGGTACTGGGGATCGAACTCAGGACCTTGCGCTTGCGAGGCAGGTGGCCGCACCACTGAGCTAAATCCCCGGCCAGTAATTATTTTATTTTTATTCAGAAATATATCCAGGTGGTCATAAGCTAGTGATATATAGTTTTTTAGCCATTAATATTTACCAATTTAATTTGCTCTTACTGTCCTTTTACTTTTTGAGGAATTATGGGAAACTGGGGATTAACCCAGGTTCTTGTGCATATCAGAAAAACACTCTACAACTGGGCTATGTTCCCAGTCCTTTTTAAACTCTATTTTGAGACAGGGTTTCCACTAATTTGCCCAGACTGGCCTCAAACTTGTGATCCTGCCTCAGCCTTCCAAGTGACTGGAGTTACAGGCATGTGCCACCACACCCGAATTCTATTGTCCTTGATTCTTCGCAGATTATATTTTTATTGTAATTATTATTATAACTTTATAAGGGAAAGTTTTTCAAATTTTGTATTTCTTCTTACTATATAATTTGTATTTATTGTTATAATATATTTTTCCTTTTTTGCTGCCTTCATTTCCATTATTTCTTTTTTTAATTTCTTTCTACAACTTTTGTTTAGTTTTTTGAGACAGGGTCTCACTATGGAGTTGAGTCTGGACTCCAACTCGTAATCCTCCAGCCTCAGCTTCCCAAGTGCTGGGATTACACGCATGCTCCACTATGCCTGGCAATTTTCAGTGTTTTTAACTACAAAAAGTGTGTTCAGTAAAATCTATTTTTTCTTTTTTATTTTGAGAATGAGTCTCAGTAAATTGCCCAGGCTGGTCTTAAACTTGTGATTTTCCTTCCTTAGCCTCTTGAGTACCCAAGATTATAGGCATGCACCACCGCATCCCACAAATTGATCCTTTCTTTTACTGCTCACTCACTCATATGCACACTTAAAGGAGATGAGATGATCATGATTCTCTAAAAAGGGTTAGTGTAAAACAAGGAAAGCTGTCAATAATAACTGTACTGGATTTTGCTAGCCAAGAAAATAGTTACATCATGGCAAAGCCAGAAACGGGAAAAACCAAATCTGTTGCTAAAAACCAAGGATCTATTTTTTAATTCATCTAGCCAACATGTAGGGTCTGGACTTTTTTTTTTTGAGACAGGATTTCATTATGAGCTGGGCTGGCCTTGAACACTCAGTGATCCTTCTGCCTCAGCCTCTCGAGTGCTGGGATTATAGGTAGATGCCACCACACATGGCTCGCTTAAACAATAACTTTGTAGGTATGTTCTACTTCTAATGAGCTATTGATACATGAGTAGGCAGTTTAGGACAGACACCAGTCCTCTCCAGTTATATCAGGCCAGCTGAAAGGTACCTGGCATATAATATGCACTTAATGAAATGAAATAAGGAAAAGAATAAAAATGGGGCCCAATACACCACTGTGTTAAGAGGTGTTTTTAGCCACGCAAATACAAGAGACATCCTATTCATGGTAATATAATACACAAGCTACCGGGTGTGGTGGTGCATGCCTGTAAGAGGCTGAGACAGGAGGATCACTGTGCATTTGAGACCAGCCTGGGCTGCATAGTGAGTTCCAGGTCAGTCTCAACTACATAGTGAGACCCTGTCTTAAAAAAAAAAGAGCTGTTAAATTTAATACTGATTCTTCTCTTCCTACTGTGGTATTATCATATCAAGTCAAGAATGCATAAAAAAGATGAGGAAGGACTGAATACTTAGCAGGAGTGGCCAAGAAAACAGTATTTAAAGCAGTGCTAATGTATGGTGAGGAATAATATGGACAGCTGACCTACTGAAGGCTATTCACGCAGAATTCCTTGACTGATTCAGGTAGATATATATTATGTATCTTGTTGAGGGCTATAATAATTCTGAATGAATCAAGAGTTGGCCTGGTTCACAGTAATTATTATTATTATTATTTATGGTACCAGAATTAAACTCAGGACCCTGTACTTTCGAGGCAGGTGGCAGAACCACTGAGCTAAATCCCTGGCCCAGTTCACAGTCATTATTGAATAATCCACTGTGTGCTGAGCACTGACCTAGGGAACTGTTTGATTTAACTCTACTTGGGAATATAAAATTTCAGACACCCTTGGAACTCACTACTACCTAATGGGGAAAAAAAAAGAGAAAGAGAGGATATAGCTTTTTCTTCATTTCCTGTTACTGGGCAAGGTTATGATTATTACTACTTATTAACAGTTTCAACGGTCTAGCATCTCTTTAAAATATTCCTGTCCTGAGAAAATGTAAGAAGAAATAGTTTCAGAATTTAGGACTCAGAATTTATAACAACTAGAGAACACAGCCATAATTTAAAGATGTTGTTCCAAAGAGGTCTCTTTCTTGAGACTATTGCCCTTAACTAGAAAAACCTTGGAGAGAGAGAAGAAAAATATAGAGTGGTCAGAGCTGAGCAACCCCAAAGGGTAACCGTGGAAAACATACATACAAGGAGTCTATATAACAAGATAATATAATGCTCAGAGAATCAGTCCATTACTATACCTCTCTCTGAGGCGTCGAGCTATCCACCAGCATCACATGGATTAGTCTGGGATCTACCGACTTGATCTCACCACTCTATGGTAGGAGCAGGGCAGCAGAACATATGAAAAAGGGGGAAAAGATATTTAAAGCCTGTCTACCAAAACAAAATTATGTATTCTCCCAATCTATGTAATCACGGCCTTATCGTTTCTACTCTTCCACCAGAAGGAAAGCTCCATGGGAGCTGGGATCTCTACCATCTCATTCACTGCTATAGTAATAACATCTGAAACAAGGTCTGCAATATAGTAAGCATTCAAATATTTGTTAAGTGAATGAATAAAAAAATTCAGTGCAATGCCAGTGTGTCTTTTAAGGAATGTTCATTTCAAATTCTACATCTCTAAAACATTCCTATTTGGCATATTATGAAATAAGAAACCTTCAGCATCAACAATCATTAAAAGAATCACTTTGTTATTAAAGAATAAAATTGTGGGAGAGGGGCCAATTTGACTAACGGCATCAAATTTATTGTAGTTATACTGTATTTTGACTTAGCAATTACACATCAAAAAATTTATTCCAATAATGTGAAAGGATTTTCAGGTATGTTCCTTGTGGCATTATTTGTATTAGTGAAAATACTGGCAATGATTTAAATGTCTCAATGTTAGATGAAATTAGTTATATATACATGTAATGGAATAGTACATGTAATATTTTAGAAGGATGAGTCAGATCTCTATATTAACAAATAAAGATGTTTGTTATATACAAAGTAAACAAAAAAGCTAAATTATATAACTATATATATATATCATATCATTCAACTATATATCATATTCAAACAGAAATACTTTAATGACTATTAAACTATAACATAATTATGTTGTGTAAATAATATATATTATTATATAAACATTGAAAACACTTGGAAGAATATGAAATACACACCAAAGTGTTAATGGTGGTTGCCAATGGAAGAAGTGATGATTGTCCTACACAAAGGATGGTTTTCATAACCCAATATGTAAATTTTGAAATGAAGATAATTTTAATATTTTAAAATTATAATAAAGATATAAATAAAAGCACTTTTTCTTATATTATATGTAACTGCTCAGGGAAAATCTATTTGAGACACAGTCACAGTAAGTCACTGAGTTGCCCAGGCTGGGCTTGAACTTGCCCTCTTCTGCCTCAGCCTCAGAGTGCAGGGATTATCCACATGCTCCACAATGCCCAGCTAAATGACTAGTCTTTTAAGTCTTTTGCTGTTATAAATATCTTACAGTTATATACTATTTTACCAATGTCAGAGCACTTTCAATACCCTATCTCAGCCCTCAAAAGAGTGGTAAGAGATCAGTAGGGATTTATACAATTACCCCTAACTTATAGATGGAGAACAGTGAGGTTAAAAAGTCTTTCTCCGTCACAAAAATCAGTAAATGATGAGCCAGGAATAGAATGTGAGTTTTCTTATAGGCAATGAAGTGTTTACTTTCTCTAGGGCAACTTCTGCATGGGGATGGATGTGCCTTAGACAGAGTAACAGCCTCACCTCAGTTACAGACACCTCCATAAGACGGGTGATGGAATCTTGATGGCTCACAACACCATAGAGCCACCCTTCTTCCCCCTCTGGCTGGTACACTTTGACCCTGTGACCTTGAACACTGTAGGGACCTAAAGGAAAGATCAGTCAGAATTGAGTATTTTTGGCTAAGCTATATATTATAGTTGTTTTTAATAGCTGAAGATAAACTATATGATGTACTATCTGGTATTTTCAGTGTACTGTACAGAGCTAAGTAAAGTAGCAATTCCAGATTTAGCATATTCAGCAGTTTTAATTTTATTTTTTATGGCTCTAGGGATTGAACACAGGGTCTTAGGCACAGTAGGCAAGTCCCCCAGGCACCACACGTAGAAATTTAAAAATAAAGCTTAAGTGTTTTTTTCCCAGTGGTCTTTATAAACTTTTTGTTTATTTGGACATTACTTAAAAACTTCCAGTCCCCCACTTCCATCTTTTCTTATTCTTAACATTCTGGAAGCAATATATAGGAAGAAAAAAAACCCATATAAATAAAAGACCTCAGGTAGTATGGAAATGTACTCAGATACCTGACATATACATGATAAAAGGGGGACACCACTACGCTGAATGTGCAATGTTAAGTGGCCATAGGAAGACTATTAAGTCTTCTATCTTTCAGTAACAGTGTGTGGAGAGTTCAATTTATGAGGTTTCCAGTCTCTGCACTAATAATAGTCTGAACAAATATAGCACTTGTCTTCCTAGGAACAGAGTTTGAAAGACACTACTTTATCAACAGGTAATATTACCCTCCAATTTCAGCTAGCTCTCCAAGAGGGACGGTCTTTCTCCCAAGGATCGTTGTACATTTGAGACTATACAGCTAATGCCTTACTAATTTTAGATTATTTTTTCTCAGAGCTATAATTAAGCATCCTTAATTTTTCAATACATACATATACTCGCACCTCTCATTTTTTCCACTCAATCTTTTTCTCTACTACCAATTTTTCCTTACATTCTTGTTTCCTCTAAACTATTTCTTGACTTTTTTGTTTTTGTTTTTTGAGAAGGGGACCACACAAAGGATAGAGTACTATTTCATTTATCCTTCCTTATATGTCATATGTCTATTCTCCTTTCTGATCACAATACTAATAGTTTTAAGTAAAGGCGTATTCTTGGATCTCCAAGGAAAACATAAAAATGATGTTCGATAATCAAGGAATGAGCCAGGTGAAGTGGCGCACAACTGTAATCGCAGCACTTAGGAGGGTGAGGTAGGAGAATCACCATGAGTTCAAGGGCAGCTTGGACTACAAAATGAGACGCTGTCTCAAAAACCTAAAAATTAAGTAAGTAAATAAAAAAGGGATAGGGAGATAGCTCCGTAATAGACCATTTTTCTAGTATGTGCAAGATCCTGGGTTCAAGGCCCAAGACTCAGTACCATTAAAAAAAAGGAATGAAAGCGAGAAGGGAAAAAAATCATGCTATTTATGTGAAACAGTCTGTGGATATATTATTTTATGAACATGCTTTGGGCAAGTTGTTATTTGTTGGTATTTTAGTTCTTAAGAAATTTGCAGGTAAATTCAAGAAAAGTGAAGACTTTCTAACTAATGGCTGTATCTTTAGTGCATTAACATTGTATCTAATACATAGTAAGTTCTTAATAAATATTTAAGGAAAAAAAAACCCCACAAAACCCTAACTCCACAATAAAACTCAGGGTTGTGAAATGCAGAATGAAGAAGAAACACTGATCCAAATGAGATTCTATTTTTCTGCTTTAATCTACAGATCTAGCTAACTGGAGATCCTGTACTTTTAACTCTATCCATAAAAACAAGATAAAGACAAACACATACAGCTGCCTGATGTACCATTCTATATCATCCAGCGCTGACAATTCACCCAGTTCAGGGTTCAGGGACAGAAAAACTACCTTTTCTTACCTTGGCTGAATATCTCTTGTAGCTTCTGGTCACTGATCAAAGCATTAACTGTTTCTCTCAGTGCAGCATGTTCTAAAAGAATTTGATTTTGGCTATCTGTTCCCATCTATAAAGATAAAACAGCTGAATATTAAAATGAATAACTACATGGGGAAAATTATATAACAAAGAAGCTCTATATCAACAGTTGGCAAAAATGTCTGTAGAACTCTAGTCTCATGAGATTTCATAAAATTAAAGATGCTAGGACCAATTCAGCTTGGCAAGTATAATATATTATATCTTTTTACATGTAATAGCTTATTAAAGGTTCTGAAACATTACACAGAAATCTATTTAAGCCAGTGTTCCTCATCTGATCATAAAACATTTTTTTATTTCATGTATACTCTTTGCTTATTTTGGTATTTAGCCAACATTTACCAAGTCATCTCCTATAAACACTAGGATTATGAAGATGAAGTGAGGCCTAATGAGAGAGGAAGACATAACAAAAAAGATATCATTAGTAGCTCTTAGAACCCAGTTTAGAAAATAATGTTCTTGGCTTTCTCAGTGATGAAACTTAGAAGTCTCTCAATTTTAAATCTTTTTATAAGTAAGAAATAAGCGCTGCGTTTATTTTAAATTCTAAACTAGGCCAGGCATGGTAACGCACACCTGTAATCCCAGCACTCGGGAGGCCGAGGCAGGAGGATTGCTGTGAGTTCGAGACATGAGTTTGAGACTAGCCTGGGCTACATAGTGAGTTCCAGGTCAGTCTGAACGACGTAGTGAGACCCTGTTGCAAAAAAAAAAAAAAATTCTCTATAACTCATATGCTAGTTTGTTTAAATTATTAACTTATCCCTTTTCAACAGGCATGATGGCACACACCTATAAACACTAGTACTCAGGAGACTGAGGCAGGAAGACTGCTGTGAGTTCAAGGCCAGCCTGAACTACATAATGAGATCCTGTTTCTGTATACAATTTTTTTTTTTTAAACTGGGGATCGAACTCAGGTCCTTCTGTGCGTGCAAAACAGGCACAAAACCACTGAGCCAGATACCGGGCCCTATGAGATCCTGTTTCAAAAACAAAAACAAAACTCAAACAAACAAATAAAACCCAACTTACATCTTTTCTTTGTAACTAAAGATAAACTTTAGTACTTCACGCTGCTTGGAATCAAACTCTACTCCTTCCAGCTAACCTGCCACTAAAGTAAGCATAGGTCCTCTCAGGCTAAAGTTATAGAAGCAGCCACCTCAGAGGAGCCACTTCTTCAGAGAGGAGACTCAAAATTATGGTCTTAAGTCCTAAATGGCCTTAGAGCGGGGTCAGGGTACACAGATGAAGAAAAAAGCTTCAGTCACCATTCGGACTTTTCAAGGAAAAGACACTTTCAAAAGCACAGGAGAGGGCCGCAGATTTAGCTCAGTGGTTTCACCTTCTGCTTTGTAAGCCCAAGGTCCTGAGTTCAATAGCAGGTACCAAAAAAAAAAAAAAAAAAAAAAGCACAGGATAATTCACTAGTGAAACCAAAGATATGCTAAAAAGGTGGGGGAACACCCATATTTTGTATCTACAAAGAAATTAGCAAGGATATAATAGGCACAGTGAAGTACCTGGAACAGATGTAACCCAGTAGCATCTGACAGGAAACGCAGCTCTCGATCCAGAAGATACTCAACTGGCACCATAGAACCCAAACCCAGTTTATCTACTAGGGGAGTGAAAGTCTGTGAAGTACAAGGACAAGACATAAATTAGAACTTGAAAATGAAAATAAATAATGATTCCAATCTCTAGTTTCTGAGAAAAGCACCCACCAGTAAATATAGGTACTAGCTAAGGGTATATGTCCTGGTAAACAATCCCAATATCAAGTAACCATAAGAAGCAAACTAAAGCAGAAAGTCTTCCACATTGATGGCTAAAAAGAACAAGTAGAATGAGAAATTCTTCATTTTCCCTAGAGGTCCAACTAATCTTACCAGGCTTCAAGAGGTCTAAGTTTTACATTTTCAAAATTAAGTGTCAGACCATTACTGTAGTATTCCTGAAATCTTTGTGAGATTTCTGAAATAATTACTAGTATAAATATGCATAGGTATTATTTCATAAATAGTGTATAAAGGTCATGAATGTGTATCCCCCCCACCTTTTTTTTTGAGACAGGGTCTCACTATGTAGTTGAGACTGACCTGGAACTCACTATGTAGCCCAGGCTTGTCTGAACTCGCAGCGATCCTCCTGCCTCAGCCTCCTGAGTGCTGGGATTACAGGTATGCACCACCACGCCTGGCTATCCACTTATAAAAGAGTTTTTCCTAAAAATTAATTGAAAAGTGGTCCTAAAAACAGATGGAAATCTGGGGGACTAAGACAGAAGGTTTACAAATCCAAACCCAGCCTAGGCGACTTAAGAAACTTAAGATCCTGTATCAAAACAAAATTTAAAAAAGGGTCTGGGAGCTGGAAATAGTGGTACATGTCTATAATCCTAGCACTCTGAGAAACTGAGGTTAGTGAGACCCTGTATGAAAGAAAGAGAAGAGAGAGAAGAGAGAGGAGAGAGAGAGAGAGAGAGAGAAGAAGGAAGGAAGGAAGGAGGGAAGAAAAGCTATATTAAGGCCTTGCGTTCAATTCCTTGGACTGAAGGGGAAAAAAGGGTGGGTATGGTAGGGTATAGCTCAGTAGTAGAACACTTGCCTAGCATGCACAAGGCCATGGGTCTGATCCCCAGCATTGCAAACAAAAACAAAAAGGAGAGAAGACAGTTTAGTAAATGATGATACATATATTTTAATAGTTAAAAAATTTTTTTGACCAGGCATGGTGGTGCACACTTGTAAACCCAGCACTTGAGAGACTAAGGCAGGAGAATCTCTGCAAGTTCAAGGCCAGCCCAAACTATATAGTAAGTCGCTGTCTCAAAAAAACAAAAACAAAAATTTTATTATTACTTAATTTGGTTAGTCACAAGAGAACTGAAATTTTGCCTACTATTTATGCCTGTATTTTGCTAATAAAATAGAATTTAAAAATACTCTCAGAATTAAATGGTTTAACTCTATTTTACAAAGTAACATATGATAATTAAAAAACTTTAAGGTTTATACTGTTTAAAAACCCTCTACTGTGGTAAGGTATAGTGGCACATGCCTGCAATCCCAGCATTTGGGCGGCTAAGGCAAGAGAATTGCTAGAAGTTTGAGGCCAGCCAGGCTCTATAGTGAGTTCAAGGCCCGCTTGAACTACACAGCAAGACCCTACTTCAAAAAAATAAAAACAAGGAAACAAACAAAAACTTGCACTGAGAAAAGACTAAAGGTGAAAAATTTCTCTAGAGATAGAAAAGTATCAAATATTATCTATTACAAAAGTTTTGAAGGACATAGGAGAAAGGTTCTCTTTCAGTTTTTGCTTTACTAACTTCAGAAAGGAAGTGTTACTAAGAACAAACCATTTAGTTTTTGTGAATTCTAGAGGTCAGCTACTGGGTAAACATTATAGTTATAGGAGGAAAGCTCAAATATGTTCCTACCTGATAAAAGCCACTTGAAGGGAAAGAGTACAGCTCAGTGGACGGGTATTAGCCTAGCATGCATGAAACCCTTGGTTCAATCCCCTGTGCTGAAACACAAACAAAAAAGTAAAAGCCACTTACCAGGGCTGGCCACTGTGCAATTGGGATTCGAGTGCCCTGGAGGAGGACAGGATCCTTCCGAGGTGCCCATACAAGTGACCCTTCCAGCAGAAGCACAGTAACTTCTTCAGCATGAACTTTAACCCAGGAGTGTTGCTTCCAGTTACAGCCATCAAATTCCACAAAGATCTACAAAAAGAGGTAAAAAGCAGTTTGGAAGTCACATTTGAGGAAATCCTACACTATAACATATAAAAATATAACCTCCCTGTTTTGTTTTGTTTTTGTACCAGGGATCAAACTCAGGACCTTCCGCTTGCGAGGTAGGCATAAGCACCATTAAACTAAATCCCCAGCCCTTCTCTCTGGTTTTGAACAACTAACTAGGAAAAAGTCTACTAACTTATTTTTAAGTTCTTTTAAATAAGGGATGTGAAAATTAAGAAATTAAGTAAAGGATGCTAAAACTCTTTTAAATAAAAGATGCTAAAAATTGATCTTACTTCAGAGCTAAGAAGCTGGTTTTAGTCTCGTTATGGAAAAAAAAAAGGGGGGGAACAGAGTTAAGGAGGCAGGAGTTATCCAACACAGTTTTTCAGTAACTTTTAGTATTGTTCCTACAGAAACCTGCAACTCTTAGTTTCCAACTCATATTTTCACACACTTGCTGGGGCTTACTATCTGTAAAGTACTGTACTAGGTTCAGGATGACAGAGAGGAATCTGACACACTTCCTAGTACACTAGCAATGACTGTAAACTTTTTTATTATTTTTTTGAATAGGTAATGTATGTACAGAGTACAAAAATTCAAAAAGATAAAACACTGAAGAAAAAGTTGCCCTCACACTCCTGCATTGTGTTTCTAAAATGCTGCTGCCAACGGTGATCTCATATTTGCTAGCCAAGGCATGCTGCAGTCTCAACAATGCTTAGCTTTTTCCCTGCAGACAAACTCCATACTTAAATAAATATTGCAAAGTGATCCGTAGTCAATGAAACTACATTCTGCTAATTAATATTATACTTTGATAGTCAAGTATGGTGGCGCACGCCTGTAATCACAGCGCTTTAGAGGCTGAGGCAGAATCACCTTGGGCTACATAGTGAGTTCAAGGCCAGCCTGAACTACATAGCGAAACCTTGACTCAAAAAACAAATACTTAAGAGATTTGGCTGTCTATGAGAATACTGACTTCTGAACATGATTCAAATAGTATAAGGAGCAAAGATATATACATACAGGTATCACTATTTAGATTAGATATGTCTAGTGCCTAAAATATAGCTGGTCACAAATTAAGGGGTAGAGATGTATTTATTTATATCCCATTTCATCTTCAAAGAATTTCTGCTGGCTTTTGGGAAACACATGCAATAAAATGGTAAATATAAACAAAAAAGTCAGAGCTAAGCAGGAAGTCACTGTCAAACAAAAGAAAGAAGCTGGGCATGGTAGCACATGCCTATAATCCTAGGACTCTGGGAGGGTAAGCCAAGTTCAAGTCCACCCCTAGATGATTTAGTGAAACCCTGATTCAAAATTTTAAAAATTTTTAAAAATTTAAAAAGGGCCAGGTATGTAACTCAGTATGAAAGCCCTGGATTCAATCCCCAATACCACACACACATGCACACAAAAGAAAAAAAAAAAAAAAAAAAAAACGGATGTGGTGGTGTACACCTGTAATCCCAGCACTTTGGGAGGCCGAAGCAGGAGGATCTCAAAGTCAAGGTAAGCCTACACTACACAGTGGGACCTTGTCTGAAAAAAGAAATGAAAACAAAAGTCAAAAAAGGAGAAGTTTGATCAGGCAGTAAGGCTCTGTACACCTGGTATGACTGAGTGACATATTTGGCTTTAGGCTTTCCAAAGGCCAAAGTGAAAATGGTGAAAAGTTGAGTTGCACAGCTCTCACTGTCCAAAAGGAAACATACAGGCATGCCTATCACCCAAGCACTTGGGAGGTTGAGGCAAAAAGAGTTGCAAGTTTAAGACCACCCCAAGCAACTTAGCAACTTAAGGAGACTGTCTCAAAGCAAAAACAGGTGGGGTTGGGGGGTGGGCTGAAGACATAGCCCAGCAGCATGAAGGCCCAGGTTCAAGCCTCAGTGCTGCAAAAGGAAAACATACAGCAAGTATTTCGAGAGCAAAGCTTTTCTAACTACTTGGCCCTCTAAGAAATGCCTTGCGTGAAATGTCCAACAATAACACTTAGTGATGCAGGACATCAGCCATGACTCAACTGGCAACTGTGGTGCTAACGGGAAGATGTGTAAGTGTCAGGGACTCCAAGTACTCCCCACAGATGAATACTGGGGGCCCAGCACATCTGTGTGTTATCATTTTTAAAATCTATGTAGATGTTATAGTGAACAAAATTCAAATCCATTGAAGATGCATTAAGAAAATTTCACGTGTATTTAGGTACAATAAAAAATCAGAATTATTTATTTTGCAGTACTAGAAATTGAATCACGACCTTCATAATCAGGCTACATTTCCAGACCTCTTTTATTTTTTATTTTGAGACATGATCTCACTAAGGCGCTAAATTGTACAGGCTAAGCTTGAATTTACGGATATTCTTTTTTTTTTTTTTTTTTTGTACTGGGGATTGAACTCAGGTCCTTGCACTTGCAAGGCAGGCCACCGAACCGCTGAGCTAAATCCCCAGCCTCATGAATTTATGATATTCTTGCCTCAACCTCCTACACCTCTGGGGCTACAAACATGTACCACCATATCTGGAAAGAAAAAAATAATTTACTTACTGTATAATAGCTTTTGTTATGTATGCTCTCACCTAACCAACGTAAAAATTACAGCTACAGTTATATATGAAAAAAAGGCAGCATCAGGAATTTAGCTCAGTGGCACCATGCCTGCCTTACAGGTACAAGGTCCTGAGTTTGATCGCTGGTACACACACACACACACACACACACACACGTCAGGATATTTATACTTAAAAAGTGTGGAACTAAACTGGATGTGGTAGTGCCTGTAATCCCAGCACTCTCCAAGAAGAGATAGCAATCATAAATATATAGGTAATCCCAGCACTCTGGCAAACTGAAGTAACAGGGTCACAAGTTCAAGCCCAGCCTGGGCAACTTACTGACTTAGCAAGATTCTATCTAAAAATAAAAATAAAAAAGGGCTGGAGATAAGAGATCACTGAAGGCTCTGGGTTCAATCTCCAGGACAAAAAAAAAAAAAAAAAGTGTGGAACCATAGCCCAGAAGTTTAGCATTAGGCTTACTTTCTGTACAGGTACTTAAGAATTTAGAAACATTAATGAAAAGTTATCCCAGAAGTTAAATTCATTAACTTCTAGTTTTATTATTCAATATGCCAAGTAAGCTTCATTTCTAGTTTACAGAAAAAAAAAACAAAAAAACAAAAAACAGTGGGGAAGCAAGGCTCAGAAAGGAGATGCATGATTTTTACAGAGAAAGAGAACACTAAACTGGACTACATTTAATTTATGAATGGGCTCATTCATATATACATATATACATACGTATATATTCCAGGCCTAGGGGGAATAAGACAAAGTCCCTGACTTCAATCAACTTACAGGCAACTGGAAAGAAAGAAAAGTATTCAAATTTAAATTTAAGTGCAGACTTAGGCACTCAGAAAGGTAGTTGCAATATACTGTACAAATCTTGGAGATTTATAGGCCAGGAAACTTGAATTTGTTCTACTCTCTATTATATAAAAACAAAACACTATGATGAATGTTATCATTATGTATATCTAAAATGTAACAAACAAAAAACAAAACAAAGAAAGAAAAAGATTAAGGCTTAAAAGCCAGGAATTTAGCTTGGTGGCACCGTGCTTGCCTTGCAAGTGCAAGGTCATGAGTTCAATCCCTGGTACCTTAAAAAAAAAAAAAAAAAAGATTAAGGGTTGAAGACAGGCATGATGGCACTTGCCTGTATTCTCAACACTCAGGGGGCTGAGGCAGGATGACTTTGAGTTGAAAGCCAGCTTGAACTCAAGGACAGCCTGAAATACACAGCAAGACCCTGCCTCAATAAAAGAAAAAAGATAAGGGGCTGATACAGAAGAGCTTGAATGCTCAGCTAAAAAATATGCAATGGAACTGGGCATGGTGACATACCTGAAATCCCAGCACTCAAGAGGCTGAGGCAGGAGAATCACGAGTTTGAGGCCAAATGGGGCTACAGAGTTAGTAGGCCATCCTGAGCTACATAGCAAGACCCTACCTCAAAACAAAACAAAACCCAATTAAATAAATAAAATCAACACAGGAGTCACAAAAATTCCAAGTTACACCAAAATACAAATACAAGAACACACTAAAATAAGCCATTACACTGAAGTTGAAACTTTTTTTTGTTCTGTGTTTTTGAGACAAGGTCTCACTACATAGTTGAGACTGACCTGGAACTCACTATGTAGCCCCGGCTGGTCTCGAACTCACAGTGATCTTCCTGCCTCAGCCTCCTGAGTTCTGGGATTACAGACATGTGCCATCACCCCGGTAACTTTTGTTAGTTTATATCCATTCTTCCCATCCTATGTCTTTTGATGAGAAGTGTTTCTTTACCTTCTATGTTCCAACTCCACGTGAGTTGGAAATTGAGTACAGGGCTTGAGTCAGAAGGAAGGCTTGCTGGGAGAACATGATTAGATATAACCACATTCCCAAAATAAATTCTTTTTATTAACCTAGAGCTGTTGCTTGATCCCAGAATGTGTAAGTGTATGATTGTGGTCAAATTAAATACTTTATTCTAAATCCTTCGCCCAGGCAGATTAAGAGACATTTGACCTCATATCAGGTGAAAATTGGTTCCCAAATATTTCAACTTTTTCCTGATGTTTTCAGATACATGATGATAGGATTCTTGTTAGCTTTTTATGTGTTCAAGTTCTTATGTACACAGGATAAAAAAAGTTATAATGTAGTGCTAGGCATGATGGTGCACACCTGTAATCCCAGCTCTCAGGAGGCTGAGGCAGGAGGATCACTGTGAGTTCGAGACCAGCCTGGGCTACATAGTGAGTTCCAGGTCAGTCTCAACTACATAGTGAGACCCTGTCTCAAAAAACAAAAAAAAAAGAAAAAATCAATGGTAGTAGGTTGATTTTGTAGAGATGACCAAAGGAAGTAAATAACAAAAGGATTAAGAGTTTAAAATGATGTTTTT